TATTCCTGCTCCAACATAGTGTTTCATAGAACAAAGATTCAAGTGATTCAAAACCAAGCTTAAACTAATTGAGCTACAAAATAATTGCAATTAAGAAATTATGATTCTTGTATAATTAATAATATACAAGGATTTCCCATAATAAATGCCTCATAATTAATAAAACATAATAATGGTCTAAATCCATTATTTACTTTAAACATTTTGTTTCACCTCACCATAATAAAATGCAAACTATTATTTAACCCTTCATTTGATATTTAAACTCTTGATCCTTGTGTTAATAATTTGTTAAAAAATTACATTATATTTATAATAATTTAGGTTTGTCCAATTAATTTCTCTTAATCAAGTAAACGTAACACAAAATCAATCCAAAGAATGTAAGGATTTTAAAAAAAAATACTAAAGAAGACACTTGCAGATGGTCTGTAAGGCCTAGCTCTTTCTCTTGCCCGCAATCCATGTAACGATGACATTTCCGATGACATGGAATGTTCGACGGCTTACCAATGGGTAATACGCATGAGTTTATTTTAAAAGCATAATTGATGGGAGGTCGTCAGTTATAAAATCGACGGTTACAAGCATTCAGAACATGTCAAAACCATACTCGTTCCTTAACCTTTGCATAAACAACTGACGACTCAAAGTCTTTCGTTTAATGCAAGGAAAAAAAATTTGTTGTTTAATTTCTGGTAAGTTTGTAGGTTTATTAACCGATGACTTCTTCCATCAATTGTTTGATAACCCATTGAAAGACTGTGAGTATTTGTTAGACTAGAAAAAAAATATGATTTACGGTTTCGTGACCGTCAGAAAGTCATCGAAAAGTTGTTGCATGGACAAAAAAATAAAATAACTAGTCTAATTTATCATTACAATTTTCACACATGTAATCCTAACATAGGGACAAATCTAATTTTTTTGTCGCACACTCAACTTTACCAATCCAAGCAGTTATTAAACTCAAATCATATGAATAGACACACACAATTAAACACAGAATTAAACTATGCGGTAAACCAAAGAATTAAAATACTTGTACAAAAAAACAACATTTTAGCAATGTTCCATAAAACAAACGAAGTTAACAAACTATTCTAGTGATCCTTCGTGCCCTTATCATCCTCTCCCCAATATCCTCCTTTTAGGGTTGTTTTTCTCTCTGATTTGCCCGACGCCACAATGCATAATTTTGTTTTCATTTTAGCCTTTAATTCATACTTCATTTTAGCGATTTGGGTAGCATATTGAGTCTTAATATCTATAGTGAATGTGGCAACCTGCCTACTAACCTCATTCTCGTTGGTCATAGAAGTAGATGCCCAAAGTACACATGAGTGATGACTCCCATAGGTTTTTGTTTGAGAACCTAATATATTGACCCTTCTTTTCTTCTTGCTTCCACCATACTCTCTCCACTGCTCATAGTCGAGCTGATTCCAATTCGGGATCGTAAGTCCATCTAGAGTTCGGTTCAACGCTTTCTCAGCTGCTAGAAGGTTTCCCACAAAAAACATAGCATAGAAAGTTTGAGGTAAAATTAAACTAAAAAATTATTTGAATTGTATAGTAATTGCTCTAGTCACTTATATGTAATGCATGGGATTTTGTTTTCAACCCACATTTGGTTTGATTCTTGCTAATGGGTACGCGCATGAGCTTGGCAGTGATGGGCTCTCGTCCCAACTTCATTTCCAATTAAGATATATCTAATTAAGATAAAAAAAGTTAGAAAATACTTATTTTATAGTAACGTTTAATGCACAAGCTAACGCTTACTAGCATTCTTTTTTACTTTATATGTGGGACCGCCCCACTATTATGCTTGGAGGCGCCCATGCCCACCACAGTTTGAGTGTCAATTATCTTTGGCCTGCTGACTCTTCTAGCAATAGTTTAGAGTAGTCCAAGCCTCGAGCAATTCACTAAAAACATTCTTCCCAATCCACCAAGGGCTCTGATGTGTTTTCAGTATCTCCTCAAACATGTCACGAAGAAGATTGCCCTTTTATGCTCGAAGACTTCTTCCCTTAATGAAGAAGATGAAGGAGATGAAATAATTTGGAAATCCTTCAATAATTCTTTCCAATAGCACTCTTTAACTCTCCCTAGTTCAAAAATGCTGATCCGTTTGCTCAGTTGATGACTCAGCTGCTTAGCCCTTCTTCTGTCGTAGTAGTATAATTGTTTGGAGTTACCCAGCCGCTTCTTCAAAGGGAAATGATCCAAATATAGCAAGATTTCTCCACACTTTGGTCCTCTTCCACAAATGGCAAAAGAACCCGTTCCAAATTTTTTCATATGGGGATTAAGGACAGCACATGGCGGATTTTTTGGATGAAACACATTGGTCTAGACAAGCCGACATGGTTACACATTGATTTCAGTGTGCTCACTTCCCTACTGAACGTGTGCGATTTGCGCCCTAGTGTGATCATCCCACTGAGTGGCGCAATTACGTCAGGTGCTGTGTGTCATAGCCTTGTAACACTACCCGCAAGCGTGGTCACACCGAAGTTGAAGAATGTCACAACCTAGGCTCTTTGGGTGTGCTCACGCCGGAGAGTGGCACAATTATGCCAAACTCATGGTCATGTCGAGAGTTGGCAAATCTAGCAGATAAGACATTCTAGGATGCAGAGACGCCCGTTTTAGGCATTTTCATGCCAAAGGTTAGGCACGACCATGCCTATTTCAAGTGAAACAGGTGCGTTCATGCCAAGGGTGAGGCATGGCCACGCCTATTCCAGGTGTGGTCTTATCGGACCCTTGCACTTGAAGTGCTGGTAGGAGCAATAGTTTGCCTCGTTTAGACTGTGGTAGGCTCTAGAAAGATGGAATTTGATCTTTAAACATTAAAATGGGCATTCAAACATATCCTGGATCATATATATTGTCACTCAACGGTGAGCTTTTGTTGATCAGGGTTGAATTGGTACTGGTCCTAATTCCTTGCTCGAGACACGTACCAGGACTCCAAATGGGTGTCTTGGACTACAGAAAAATGAGCATAGTTCCATACCATTCAAGTTGACACCTCGCACATACGAGATCAAAAGTGATGCAAACAAAAGATCCCTAACAAGTGTGTTGCGTAGCTGAGGCACAATGCACTCCAAGAGAAAAAAAAATCTTCTTTAGTAGTCAGGGTGACTTCCCAAGAGAAGATTAAAAAACTTGGCTAGGCCAAATTTAATGACATGATATGACCGAGAGGTTCTGCTTGACCATATTCACAACGACAGATTGATCTGTCTGACCTAGCTTTTAAAATGTCAGAACGA